ACATTTGCCTGGGTATGGTTAAAGCTCATATACCCAGTTAGAGTTGATATAAGAAAAAAGCGCCCAACCCTAGAAACAGGTTTTTTTTTTTTTCCATTTAATGCTCATAAAATTTTACAGACAACAGAATCCTTTCTTAAGCTTTATTTAAGAAATCGAATACTATTATAGTTCAATATATATAAGACACATCCAGTATTGTGTTCCTGATAGCAAGTGCATAGATTTTTGTTAAGATATCATTTTTATATTCAAAAAAAAATTTTTATTATTATTATTATTAATCTGTTACTCAGTAGCACGTTTCATGATCACACGAAGGGATATTCCCGGTGATTTTTGCTAAGAGCATGAGAGGAGAAAACAGAACACAGCAAAGTAGTGAAACTACAACAGAGATGAGGAACAAAAACAACCAGGCAAACTATCAGTACAGTCGATTCCTGATAAGTGAATAATCTGATTGCTCGGTCACAATGCTTTATTCACTTATCAGGAATGATTCACACTACATTTTGTTAAAACTGTTTTCCTTAGCCTAGTACCTAAGAGTCACACTGGGCAAAGGCACACACGCTCGGGCAGGCTATTCTTTAATCAGCAAGGCTGGTGACAGTTTGGTAATTTCCCATGGCGATGCACATACAGCTAACAAAGAGACATTTTTTGCTAACACTGCAAGGTGCCTTACATAATTGAAATTAAAAGCATGCGTTTAAGCAGGACAAACTGTTCGGCTGCATTGCTTTAAGGAACTCATTTTTTTCCCCCATTGTTGAAAGCAAGAAGAAAGAAAAAAAAAAAAACCAAAAAGAGAAGGAAAAGGAACGAACCTGCATCTTTCAGCCCTGAGTATTTCAAAGAAACCCAACTGTAGCATTGTACAGTACTGTTTTTCGGTTGTATTTTTGGAAGAAAAGACCTGTCGCAACGTTCTAGTTTCTTTCCTACGAAGACCAAGTTTGGAAAAATCCAAAAAAAAAAAAAAAAAACCCAAACCACACACCCCAAAAAACAAACTCAGAACAGCCTAACAAAAGCCCGGAGATCAACTCTACGTTGCCATTTGTGTAAGTCAGTGAGGCCCCCACTCCACTGCATCCACTGGCGTAAACATTACGCGGCCCAGAACCAGCAGCTCGAGAGATGGATGGAAAGGACCCAGCAGACCCGGTCTGACCGCCGAAAAAAACCCAAACCACACACCCCAAAAAACAAACTCAGAACAGCCTAACAAAAGCCCGGAGATCAACTCTACGTTGCCATTTGTGTAAGTCAGTGAGGCCCCCACTCCACTGCATCCACTGGCGTAAACATTACGCGGCCCAGAACCAGCAGCTCGAGAGATGGATGGAAAGGACCCAGCAGACCCGGTCTGACCGCCGGCTCCTGCTTCCTTCCCTCCCGGCTTCT